AGCAGGAGCTGTGTGTAACATGCTTCACTGAAGTAATTAATAAGTGATTAATTTTGTAACTCAAGACATAAACTCAGTAATCCTTAACACAATAGTATCTAAAAGAAGGCACTTGAAAATGAATTCTTTACTTAGAGGGCACCTGAATTTATTGCATTGTTCAGCGTCAGTTTTTGCTGAAGAAAAACTAGGAGGTTTCTTTTGAATTTTGCTGAGCACTTAGTTGTTCATTTTCATGCACAGAAGTTTTGCTTATAACTTTAAGTTTCTAAAAGTGTCCTAAAGCATAGGACTGGAGTTTTCAAGTGGTTTAACTTTCTTTAAGCTCCTGGACAAGATCCTGCTTTCAATTATGTGGGCATGGATACAATGAAACTTCATTGATTCTCTCTTTCATTCAGAAGATACCAGGCTACTACTACCTATTTGGGTTTCCTTGGATGTGTGCTCTTCTTCTGTCCATATGGAATTTCAGGAATCTGGACATTCTTCCAGGATTTTTTTTTTTTTGGCATCCAGTAATCCCACCATACCATATGTTTGAAAAATCATAGAACGTCTCTTAGATCCACCCTGCTAGAGTGAAAATCTGCCCACGTTTATATCTTTGGAAGTAGACATTCTCAGTGATTCAGGTTACAGTTAACACAAATCAGCTCAGGACTGAAAGCGGTAAAGTTTTATGTGCATGGCAGTGGGCTGCATGGGCTTTGCACAGACCCTGTATTTTCCAAACTTCATTTACATAGGTTTGTATTATCTGTGCTTTTCTCTTGGGCACCAAAATCCTCCATTATCCAGAAAACTGAGAGTTAATTACAGTTGATTCTCAAAGGAGATTTGGTTTTCAAGCTCACGGGCACATCAGTGGCAGAGCACTGCCTTCATCTCCCAGAGCCTTCATCTCCTCTGACCCTCACATCGCAGGGATCCTAACTAAGCATGAATTTACCTAAACTTTTTCATCCTAAAGCGACTTATAAATTTGATTGCAATGCTGCAAATTCTTCCTTATTTAGATCATTTCACATCTCTTATTATGTTTAAGGAAATTCACAGCTGTGATACCACATGTCCCACAGACAAGGCCTGAGTGATCCCAAGATCCAGCTACCGCAGGTATGGAGGCAACTCTGAAAGTAACTGAAAGCAGTAAGTTACTTTGCAGAGTACTGAATACCACAGCAGTTACTAATACAAAGATAAAGTATGCGGTTTGCTATAACTGCAGGACTTCTGCCACATAAAAACATTTGCTGTTCTTTTCATGTCACCAATAACAGGAGACGTATATGACAGCACTTACCACTTCTGGTTGAGGGGACAGGTAAGCAGAGGGAAAGGGAAGAGGAGAGATATCTCCTAAAAAACATAGCTATAGAGACAATGTTTGAAAGAGCTAGAACTAGAACGCTCTCCTTTCTCAGAATTTATCATCTTTGCATAGAAAAAACATAGTAGCAGCAAACAAAACTAAAATAACTCACAGACAAGTACTTTCCTTCTAGCTTTGCAGTCTTCCTCTTACCATTCTGTATTCCCTGTAAATAAAAGCTATTTAAAAACCCCAAGAAACACTAATCACAGTCTTTGATGGATGCAGTTATGAATTATAATGCATACTTATGAAGCACTCTAGATTTGAAGGTTTTATGCACACAATCACAGCAGAATACCAACAAGGTCATTATTAAGGTCCTATTTCATTTGATGTTTTCATTAAGGACTTCAAAGCGAGAGAGCAACCCATACACATTTAGGGTTAACTAAAGGCCCACTTATAAAAATTTATGGGAAAAGTGATCCAAACAGTAAAAATGACATTTCTTCCAAAGAAGGAGGGATAGTCAATTCTGCTGAGCAAATACAAGAGTTACCAAAACGTTCTGTGACCCTTTCCCGATTTGAACCTCATCAAGTCATACCCCTCCTTAAAAGGCTGTCCCAAAGGCTGCCTGTGCAATCCTTGCAGTTCTCAAAACAGCTGTCATTATTAGGTATGGTAAGCACATAACTTTCTCAGGTGTTTTCTTTTCTTTGCATGGGACATACCCACTCTTGGAAACACTGTCAGTCTTCAACAAACATTAAGTATTTCAGCAAAGCTAGTCTTTTCTGAAAAGCAAAAACTTACAAATTAGTTTCAGCAAAACTAAGTTGTTAAACCCAGAGATGCCTCACTGTAAAAGGACTCTACACCTTCTAAATATATTATTTTAATTTCAGTAATAGTTTTAGGTACCAGAGATGCTAGGGTTTAGTCATTGGATAGTAGCCTAATATATGAGAGACGGGTATCCACATCCCAGTGTTTAAAAATGATCAAAAATGAAAAATCTCTCTACAAAGCAGTGACAGATCAAAGCAGTATCCTAGATATCAGGAGAGAAAAAAACACTTACATGTAGTCTTAAAGGAATTCAGTAGATTTTAGATGTGTTTTACTGACATGAGAGTGAAGACTTGAGAAACCCCCAAATTGTGACAAAACTATATTTTCACTTGTTGGTTCTTTAACTGAGATGTAACACAATGCTGATGATTATTTTTATGGACGCATCACATAAGACATGACTGGAAAACTAAAATTCAGGCTTTCCTCTACAATAAGGGCAAAACTGCTTTTATTTCCCTACTCAGATAAATGAGTATATACAATTCACTTGAGTTTCACCACCAGCCACCAGTAAATGCCCTACCCCCTAGCTAGTAAGAACTGCAACGTTACTTTCACTGTGGATCTAGCTCAGTCTACTATAGACAGTCTTTATTCTTGTCTAAATTATAATCCACTTCATAATCATCTTCATTTTTGGTGCTATCTACTGAAATGTCTTATTTTTGTATGCTTCATGAAGCTATAATAATAGTCTTTTCTTATAAAGAATAGGGTCAAGTTGCCTTCTTTCTGTTTGTTTCTCCCAGATTTTTAGTATTTGCACAGTCACATTAGGAACACACGTCACATTTTCCCCTAAACTTTATAGGGACAATTTAGGAATAAACAGATGTTTATGCTGCATCTTTGCCAAATCTTTTCCATATGATGCCAATAAATAGTCAGAATATCAGTCCCATACTTCATTCTGCCAGCATCCAAAGAAGTTAATAGTTAAGGGAAGAAGGTTAAAGGAGGCAGGCTTAATCTTCTCTTTGATATAAAGGAAGTTTTATTCTGATTTTTCATTGTACTTAATTTAGCAAGTGAGGCATTGTCTTGTTCAGCCACTTAATGACAGGACTGGTCCCAATAAGCCTTCACAAAGCTTTAGGTGTGTCCCCTAAGTCTGGTTATTCTGCTTCTGTGCACAGTGTATGAAGAACTTACACATTTCATTAATAATTTAACAAAATACTCTTAGCTGTCCCTTCAGCTGACTTCCTGCCTGGTGATACTCCTCTTCCTTCCACAGCCCATGCTGGTGCAGTACCTCAATTTTTTTTTAAGATATGTTTGTGAACTTTCAAAAAAAAAAAAAAAAACCAACTACTTCTTCCCCAGAGAGCACTGGTTGTGTTATTGGCGTGTCAGCAGGTAATCGCTTGCTTCCTGGGATCACCAGGGCAGGAGCAGTAGCCACAGGCAGAGTAGCTCCCAAAATCAACGAACAGTCAAGCTGATGGTTAGGATCTGGTTTGGCTGGTTTTAAACTGAGAGCAAAGAACTGAGTTGAGATTTAAATCAGAATTAGTAATAAAAATGTGGAAGATCAAAGGGGGATGGGAATAGACTCAAATATCTGGGGATCGCTATAATAGCTTTCATTCTAGTGTGTATTGAAAAGTATCAGGTCAGTTGATAACAAGAAAATATATTCTAATCTTATTATTGTTGCTGAATATTGAAGTGGGAATAAACTAGGTAAGCCTGTCTCAACCTTCCCATTTTTTGTCATCTTAATATGTCAAAGACAGAAGAATTAAAGGCTTGTCCTTGAATAATTTACCTCTTCTACACATACAGAAATGCTGTATAGGTTACTGTCTCTCTCATTTTCTCTTCCAACCATCCTTCACCACAATCACAAATCTATGGCTAACTGTCAAATGGCATTCTCCATGAGTAATTAAGTTTAACTATCAGGGAGGCTAACATTCCCAGAAATAAAATGTTTGATGGGGTGTTTCCCTCTATCTCACATTCAAATAGCCTGTTATAAATTGATGATACCACAGCTGACTTTTCTTTCAAATGCCAAAGCCTTTCCTATGTAATAGCATGTGAATTCTAAGTAGAAAGACATTATCCTTTATGAACTGTTTCACTGCAACACCATAGATCACTCTTCTAAATGATTTCTCCATGTTACATGAGCAAAATGCTGAACCTATCAATCCCTCTGGCTTTATGAGTCTCAGGACAGCACAAAGGCGTGAAAACTGAAAGAATATGTATTAATCCTTCTGAAAACTCAAGACTCAGCTAATGTAAAGAAGCAAGTATGCCTGACACTACTCATTTGAAAGCCACAAAGTGAATAAGTCAGACAGGGAAGGTATTGCTGTCACATTATCACAAGGAAACACAACAAACGGCGATCTACTGAGTGTGTATCAGCAAAATCTGATAATGCTAGTAAATGCATCTATCTTCCTTAATATATTTAAATGGATACTCTTGTTTTGCTCTTTCTACTAACTGGTAATCATACACTGGTGTCAGGCTCTACAGTATTTGCAAAAGATTATAAATCAAGATTTTTTAAATGTTAAACTCATAGCAGTATTATTAAAATTGATTATCCCATAAATTCCTTACTATAGCCAAATGATAATGATACAAATATTCGTTCACCTGACAATAACCTTTTATAATGACTAGCCTCAAGGCTTTGGACCAAAAGATGGTTTCAGAGGTGAAAGAAGGAGATGGATACCCCACAGCACCTTTGCCTCACTGGACAATCCTGCCTGAACCTCTTGTTGGGGTTTCAGGGATAGCCCTGGGATATTAGCTACACCAAAAACAAGTGTCAGTAAACTGACAGGAAACCAGACTTCTCAGCCAGCAACTGTTAATGGTAAGCATACTTTCAAAATTTATTTTAAATATGTCCCTACTTTCCTCCACTGAGCACCCAAGGTTGGGTGAAAGGTTTTGATTTTAAAAGGTATTATCTTTAATGTCCTAAGGTGTGGAATCAGCATTTGGCTGACTGCCAACCTGCTTCACAGAGGAGTCCCCCTGGCATGCACATCAGTGCTAGATGAATATGACATTTTCACACTTCTAACTTCTTTTAAGATTGAAAGAATCATAATCCTAGCACCACTTGCCTCAAAAAAATAGAAGACAGAGCTGACATCTAGTTTGACTGTGTTTCATCAAGTTTAATAAAATAAATCAATAGATAAATAGATAGATAGATAGATAGATAAAGCAATGCCATGTTGTTGAACAAAGATTTCTCTTGGTACACTAGCAAGGCTAAACAGAGCACTCCACAGCCACATAAATGACTGACATCCTTGGGAGGGCAGCAACTCTGAATGAATAATTTAATTCCAAATTGTAAGAGTGATTCCCTGTATCTACTGATAAATAGTGATCCAATAATCTGTTAAAGTACCTGCCCATATGATACTGCCTCCTTTGCCTCCGGAGCTATTCCAGCTGCTAAATTACATAATAAAAATAAATAGACTGTATTGTGAAATTTGCAAAAATACTCAGTGCTATTCTAATACCTCTGAAGGCAATGTGCTTTTGATTTCAATGCAAGCAGAAGGTGAATTCTCTCCATATTGCTTTCCAAGAACACACAAAACTTATGAAGTGGTGAAGTAATCGATTCAACTACAAAATAATCTGCTTATCAGACAATTTCTAAACCATAGTCCCAATTACCGTCTGCACCATGACAAATTTTGAAACCTCTAGTAAGGGACAAGACTGTCTCAGATTTTTTTGGTTTTAGGCTACTTCTTAATTTTTCTTTTCAACAACCAGAAAAAGTTAAAATGATAAGACATAATTTTCATATCTTAAAATACACAAATAAGTGTGTTGTTCATTGCTTTTTTTTCACCTCCAGATCACCATTAAAATAATCATCAAGCTACTTAGAGAAAAGAGAGTTGACAGAACCTAAGAGACAAGTAAGCCTAGCAATATGAAGAAAAGCGTAATTTGATATTCAAAGTTCTTCGTAAATCCAAGTTCCCTAAAACCAGTCAATATCTACCAGCCTGGGAATGTTATAAAAAAAAACCCCTCACAACACAGACACAAGTAGTTTCTTATACCCTCTGACAAATTAGCACTTCTGTTTGGTTGGTAAAACCACTTGGTTTGATTCATTTCCCACAAATTTCTCCATCACAGTTTGATGTCCTTGGCTGAACAAATTTCTCCCTTGAGTAGAATACACAGATGAGCTACTATCAACATCCATAGAAGCGTAATTCCCCCAAATCTTGACTAACAGTCTCTGAACTCTGCAGAGCCTCATCAATGTTTGGCAGCTTATATTGGCTTGCTAAAGCAATGTCGTAGTTTTTAGTAAAAATGTTTGTCATGCTATGAATTGCTCCTGATTTTCTAGCCAGAAAGGTCAAGTGGAACTGTTTATCTATGTTTATGCTTCAATTTAATTTTACTGGTATTTATATAATGCAAAAGAATAAGAGTATGTTTTCGTCACAGATCATGAATTCATGAATGCATTTCTTTTTCTTAAAGTTGGAATATGAAACGTAGGCCCAGAAGATATTATTGGCTAATTTAATTTACAAGGAAAATCAGAAAAGGTTGCACTCATTTACAGAGTTCTGGGAATCATCTTTTAAGCAATGTGCATTTCATATAATTTAGCCAAAACTTTAACTTTGGTAGTAAGCTACCCGGCTTCCACCTGCAAATGCAGCTGCCAGTAGAAGGTATGTCAGACTCCAGTTTCTTGTCCTGAGTCTACTTAACACAAAAGCAATCCCTTGGAGCTTAGAACTAAACAAAAATGAAACAAGTCCCTTCATTTAATTCCAAGTAACTCCTCATTAACACACACAATGCAGAAATCACTGCACACTATTTTACCACTCCATATTGCGCTTTCAAGTTATTTATTCATATACATATGCCATTACAGAAATTTCCAAGAGAAGAAAAGTAAAGTAAGAAATTTGCCTACATGTTACCATGTTGCTTGTGATGGCATGAGAGTAACTGACAAGTGCATTCATAGGGCCTTAAATGCTCCTTTGAACTGCCTGAACTTCTTCGGTGTCCTCTCTCACTCAGCCAAAAGTATGTGCACAACCATACATACACAGAAATGGACAGACACATTATATGTTCAGATAAATAACTCCTTGGGATTATTCCTTAATTCCTTGGGATTATTCCTTTGAGTAGGTTAACTACCTGAGCAGATTATGTGATCTGTTTGGAATCTGCAGCCAGTCTATTGCTTGCTTCACCTCACCCCCTCAAATAACTCACCTCAAAGCATAATGCTTTGTGTAAAATTTATTCTCCTTTCCCATCTGTTTTATCCAGTGATCTTCTGTTCTTGTCCAGTTGTTCTGCCAAGTTTACTGAGGCTCAGAGAAATTAAACAACTGGTGCAAGGTCACGTAAGTCTCAGCTCAGCCAAAACTAGCACCAGGAATTAAAAACTGATACATAAGTGCATACAAAGTAGGGAGAAAAAGGTGAAACCTCATCACTTTGAGGGTTGCTGGGTTTTTTTTTTTGCTCTACAGATAAGTTTAGGTAAATTTTGGTCCTATCAAGAATAGGTTCTCTTCTCCTTCTCTTCTTCTTCTCCTTCCTCCTAGTAGATCTCTGATGGTGCCATACAACTATCTTTTTGCATAGAAAGAGCAAGGTTCATCACAGTTTTTCTCCTCTTGTACCAACCCTGAGGGACAGAGTGTAGAAATGCGCAAAGCTGTATCCGATTTTTAAAAAGGGAAAGGCATAAGTAGCTGCTGGTAACTACATTAAACCCTCTGCTAGACAACAGAGACCCACTGTTTGTCGTTTTCTTTCTTGGAAGCTGAGAAAAACAGGACACAAGTCCTTTAAAGTGAAAAAAATTAACTCCTTTTTCTGTCCTGATTTTTAAACTTTCATGCTTTATGCCTGCAAATAACTGCATTTAAAAAAATTGTGTGACATATAATAAGACAAAGGATTTAGAATCATAGAATCATAGAATCATATTAACTCCTTTTTCTGTCCTGATTTTTAAACTTTCATGCTTTATGCCTGCAAATAACTGCATTTAAAAAAATTGTGTGACATATAATAAGACAAAGGATTTTATGAGGTAATAAAATATTGTCTGTATTAATATTACTGTTTGCCTAAGAAAAGAAGTAATAGATTTGAAAAAATGCAAGTAGGATCAGTGCGTGAGGCATAGAAAGGCTTCAAGTTGGCTAAAAAGGTGTTAAGATATAGTTGCAAAATAAAGCATACATTACTATTAATAATATATGAGGATATAATAATATACTATCTTACTACTAAGGATAGATGAGATTTTAATAATACATAACCTCTATATATTATATAAAGTTTTTTAGTTCTTGTCATCCTCCCAGCTGCATGCCAACTGCATCATGATTATTTAAAGTATGTATGTTTTTAAGTCTAAGATTTGAAACTTGTAAAAGGTCTGCAGAGGAGAAAAACTTCGAGTTCGCCTTTTTTATTCTGTATTTCCCCAGCCCCCCAAAATAATTTGTGTTTAAAATGAAACACTGACTATCACTTCCTGTCCAAAGAATAAGCATCTGTTTCCAACAGATCCCGAAAGAAAGGCAGGAATTTCAGTTGATTGCCACATTTTCAAAATATCCGCCCTCTCAAATTAGAATTTGAGATTTTTTAAAAAATCTTTTTATTACTACATAAAAGATACCTGATTTTTCTTCCTCTAATACTATCAACAGGCTTAGTTCTAAATATGGAGCATTTTCAATTTCAACCTTGAACGGGAACAGGTAATGCACAAGCATTTATGGTTCTACATGCATGAGACCCCAAATTTTCCTATACCTCCCAGTGTTGCAGATCCTTCTAATATCCTTTTAGAGTTAGGAAATTCTTTAATTACTTCCCACCATTTAAAAAAAATCTTTAGTCAAAATCCTTGGTGGTTTTCAGTTTCTCTCCTGCAGAAAAAAAAAACTTACTGTATTTGACATGCCCTTCAGCTTTAGTACTTTTGGACTAAAACACATTTTCCCTTTGTTCGTTATCAAAATCTATTTATATATTTCCATTGGGAAATATCTGAGACTCATAAAGCAATAAGAAAAAGCACTAATCCATTCATTAGCTGAGTATTTGATCTTTTCCAAGACTATCCAGGACAGAAAAATTAGACTTCACTATTTTTTTCCTACAGCAATGTAATCTTTAAGAGAAAAGTAAGAACCAAGAAAAAAAAAAAGCGCTGTTTGCTGATAGGTCTTTGAAAACATAATCTCTGAAAAATTTCCAGAAGCAACCTACAAAATGCCTCACAGAGAAAAAATAGGTATACAGGAGTCAACTTATGAAGCTTAGACATTATTTACATGGATAGTACAATCATCAAACAAACTCAGCCACACACAAGGCGGGGGGGGGGGGGGGGGGGGGGGGGGAAGCAAAACCCCTGTAATGTAGTGTTGGTAGTCATCTTTATCCAAGATGTCTCCAACCCCTCTAGTGGTACGTCTTCTCTTTTTTATATGTATACAAAAATGGAAGGATGAATGATTTTTTCCTCATTTCCCCCAATTTTTTCTTCATTTCCCCCTAGCTATTTCATCACCTCTGCAACTTAAAACAAACCAACCAACCTACAATA